TCGGCGGTCGCGGGCAGCGGGGCCGGCCGCCCCCGCGGAGGGCGGCAGCGCCGGGGGGAGGGCGGCGGCAGGTGCCTGCAGGAGCAGCCGCGCTCTGTCGCGCAGCCCCAGAGGCATCTGGGCTTCAAAGTTTGCCCCCTCAACTCCGCTCGCAAACCATCCGGGCTCGCAGCCGTCTGCGGCGGGGGGAGGCGGGGGGAGGAGGGGAGAAGGGAGGGAGGGACGGACGGACGGGGAGGCGAGGCAGGCGGCGGCGCTAAGCTCGGTTCACGCTCGCAGAGCGGCTTCCCTCCTGCCCACGGCATAGCTGCTCCCCCGCCCGCCTTCCTCCTCCTCCTCCTCGCGGTAGGGCGCAGGCAGCCCCAGCCGTGGGAACCCCGTTCCCGGGGGCTCCCCCGCGGGAGGCCGCGGAGAGGCGGCGCAGCGGCCGGGGGCGCCTCCGCTTTGCCGGCGCGCGCTGCTGCCGCCTGGCGGGCCGCGGCGGCGGCGCAGGGAAAGCCGCCCCAGCCGCGCTTCCCCCGCCGCGGCCGGCACCGGGGAGAGCTCCCGGGACCGCCGGGGACACTCCGGCCCCCAGCTGCCGGTGTCACTCCCACCCTAAGCAGAGCTCACAGGCGGAGGCAGATCAGAAAAGTCTGACCTGGAACACTGGGAGAGGTCCGCTGAGACAGAGGATAGGAGCTGGAGGGTGAGGGCAGGAAAAGAAGGAAACTGGTCCTATTTAGAAAAAAAATATTAATTGGTGTCAGGGAACTGCTTCTGCCCACCATTATGATGAAGAACGTTTGCACTTAGTGGCTTGATCTGGCCTTCCTCTGCTGTTAAAAGCATTCAGAATACATCGAGTTGGTGGGAAATTATGTGTCAAGATCTGGTGTGTCAGTCAGCCTCCAAAGGCTGTTAATTGCTGTGTCATCACCAACCACCTTGACATAGCATTTGGACCAGGTGACTCTTACTGAGCTGCCCATTAACAGAAGTAATTTTATCTGGGACGTTCAGTTATGAACTGGAGGAATGTCACTGGGTTTCCCAAGCACATGTGGATATTTGTTTGCTGCACAAATACCCTGTAAAACTAGAAGCTCTCTGGGAGCTTAGAACCCCATCTAGTTTGCTGTCACTCTATAAGCAGATTTGTCAAAATAGTTGGCAAACTGTCAAATGAGCAGTTACGACTCCTAAAATTCTTATAGTTTAATGAGCACTCCACAGGGAAGCAAAACACACACAAAAGTGGCAGTGCTCTGCTCCATAAGTACATTCTTCTGATTGTCAGCCTCTGTTAAGTCAGACACAGTATGGACCAGCCAAATCACTGGGCACGAGGAATACCAATCACAGTGGACATACTCACTTGAGGATCTAAGGAGACAACTACTGGGGATAGACATGGTTGAGGACAAATAAAGCTGTGGAACAGTTGAGGCTTAGAAACAGAGCTGTCCAGCAAGTGGCAGAGAATAGTTCAGGTACCTGTGAACTCAAACAGTCTTTCTTGACTTCTTCAGCATGTCATGCATACGCTTACAGGATCACAGAATGGAAGGGACTAGAATTGGAAGGGACTTCAGTGGGTCCAACTTCCCTGCTCAAACAGCATCATCCTACAGCACATGGCAGTGGCAAGAACAGTGTATCTCATTATCTGAAGCTGGGAGCTGGGAAGCTAACAGAAAGGGCAGTTTGTACTCATGTGGACTCTTGTTCTCGAGAAAGCAAAGAGCTCTCTCTCTGTGCCCATAACTGATCTAGTTGTTCATTGCAGTGGGAGGTTTCCTAAGGAAAATCTGGGCAGTAGTGGAAGAGTCCAAAACTATAATCTCCATGGGATAGTTTATTTAGTTGTTATTTTGCACTAGGTTTTGTATTTTGCACCTCCCTGATCCTTTTTCTTCTCAACACCTTCTATACCTTTGCATTGTAGTAAGAATCTCAACTTGTTTGCCTTCTCCTAAGTATGTTTAAAGTAAATGTGTCTGTTTCTGTGCTGTTATCCACTTCCCCCTTGTCTGTGGCTTATCTGTCCACACAAACTTTCTTTCTCCGTGTCACTTTTATCTGTTTAATCTCTTTTATCAAGAGGACTCGAAGTGAGCCACAGGATTGAGCATTTGAGTTGGGTCAAATGCTCAGGTCAGTGCCTTTTTGAGTCCAGTCTAAGCCTGTTCTTGGGGCCCTGCAGCTTCAACATGCAGCAAAATCAGCTGTGTACACACAGCAATACTGGTCTTGGGGCCCTGCAGCTTCAACATGCAGCAAAATCATGCAATACTGGTTTTTTTGGTTCCTAGTTAGACTTAACAAAAGGCCTGTTATGTGCTCAGTGAGTAATTTCCAAACATTCTTAACTTTGTCAAAACAAAACCAATTTTCTTCGAAGGCAGGCTGTGCAATGCTCTTCATTGAAGGTTACTCCATGCAAAACATTAACTTGTAGGTTACAGTGCTTTCACCAGTTGATTTATAATCATAAAGAGGTAAAAAAAAAAAAAAAAAAAAAAACAACCAAAAAAAATCCCAAACAAAACAAAAAAGCCAGATAAAAATAGGTTTCCCTGCTTCCCTTCAGTATTCTCAATCAAGTGTAATTTTATTCCTATTTCTATAACTCATTTCTAGGAGGAGATCAGTTCCAAAATCTGTGACTGTCACTAATGACTGGAAGCAGGAGACTACAGATTCATTTTACACTTTCAGTTATAGGAGCTCATTGCTAATGCCTGTACACCCAGGATGTCTGCTCTTTGGACATGAGAGGGGAACACATCTTTTGGTGGCATAATGGTGAAATCTGTGTCTGCTGGAGTGCCTTCCCTGTAATTTGACAGGACTTACTAACTGCTTTTAAGCCTAACCCTAGCCTGCTCCTTCCCTGAGCCTGGGGGAGCACCTATGGAAAAGGGAAGCCGAAGGAGGACTGCGGCTGCCAGCCTGCTGCATCAAACCAGCAGCCCCAGAGGAGAACAAGGACTTGGGAGAACAAGCTGCAGGCCAAACAGACCAGCTGGAAGGGCCACTATGGACTCTAGCTTCTGTATCCCTTTCCTTTAATAAAACTTTCATGTGAAATCCCTTAAGCCAGCACAGTGTGGGTTCAGCAGCACATCATCCCAAGCACTCCCACCATGTAGGAGCTTGCTGCCACCAGCACCACCTCCCCAGGCTGTCCCAGGTGCCAATAAATCAGCATGGGCTCTTACCTATTGCATCCATTCTCGTATCAAACCAGTCTGAAAATGCTTTGTAATTGATAATGTTGTCATCAGTAGTAAAGGGAAAATATTGTATCAATTTAACCAACACCTTGTTAACTGAGCAGACCTTGCTGTGTGATGTGCATGTTGACTTTCTGGGGAAAGAATCAATTATGGGGGAAAACATAAGTGATTAAAACATAATACAAAATTATTGTAGGCTTAAGCACACTGCAATAAAAATTCTATTCAAATCTCTAAGACTGTAGCAGGATTAAACGATTTTTTGAACATCATTTCTACCATGAAGATTGAGTGTCAGGTACTTTTTTTTACCTCCTGCAGGATTTCAAGACTTGATTGCCCAAATGACAGTTTACTTATTTTACTGTCACATACTTTTGTGAAATGCCATAACAAGTTGATTACAGGTTTCACGTTTTGCATAGTGACAAAATCATCTGTCATATAATAGTCTGATGCCTGAAAAACCATTTAACTAAGAAGCAGTTGCTACTGAAAATAATGATATTTGAAACATTAAGTAGGTTTAAATGTGTACATTTTCTAAGTAAGTCTTTGTTTTAACTGAATGAGAAGAGCAGTGTTATCCCTTTCAGGCATGAATTTAAGACTTGTAAAAGTCACCAGACAACAACTAGCTAGAGGGTGAGATAAATTAGGAAGGGCATCATTTCATGAATGAAATGAAAAATAGAAATTAAAAGCCTGGTGATACATCATAGCTTCTACAAAGATGAAAACGTCCTTGGCTCCTATTTCCAAAACCTGTTATTCCTACCAGCCTGTGCTGGAGATCTTAGGCCATGTCATGCACTCTGGCTACTGGAAAGAGAAAGAGTCTCCCTTTCCCTTATGGTGACAAATATTGGGTCTCTGGAACTGTTGTGAAGAAAAGAATAAGATTTTACTTTCTTATTCAACATATCCATACCTTAGATGAGGTGTAAGTAATAACAGTAATAAGAAGAATCCATTCATTTAGTGTATTCACTTTCTTGACTGATTCTGAATGACTAGATTTTGGAAATAATGTGATGTGTCACTTCTACTTAGCAATACTAACCAGTAAGGCAATTTTCTGGGTATTTTATTTCTGGTAATGAGTGGATGAAGTAATGGTAGTAGCAATCTCCCTTCTCATGTGCAGGCAAAGGACAAGCCAGTTATCAAAATGAGGAAGGAATAGGATGGGGAAGCTTAGCAAGCTGCTAGATTGAAGAAGAGAATGCTGTGTCCTCGCACTCTGTCATATACTGATTTCGTAGGCAATGCTGCCATCACATATGAATCCTGGTAGAAAATCATAGTGAATTATACATGAGGAGGAATGCTGAACCTCTCTGGAGGGGTGCTGCACCCAGGTGCTCAGCTGACCTCCTGCAGTGGGCTGCAGCGCAGGATAAGACCGCAGATCAGCAGAGTAGTGTCCAAGGGTGTCTGACCTTCCTGGGCCACCAACTGCAGCACACCCCAAGCGGCAAAAACCCTGCTCTGTGGCCACAGATCAATGGCAGCCAAGTGCTGCCACTGCATCCTTGCTGCTGAGTTTGTTTTCCATCCAGGCTGGAGAGACATTTAGGATGCAGTAGCTTTGGCACTTTTCAAACTGTTCCACCTTCTGTGGGAGAATGGGGAAAATAGGAATTGGAGGGGAGGAGGAATTCCTTGCCGTGTTGTCTTGCTTCACAAAGGAGCATGGTTAACAAAATTGTCAACCTGAAGACTTATCATTGCCCTTTGTGGACACAG